TTTTGCAAGTTGTGTTGGATAGAATACTTCATTAGATACAACTTTGATGAAGGAAGGATAGTCAGACGTGAACTATGAAGCCGATTTCTGCTTGCAGTTATCGCTCGATGTATTGGCGGTCAACAAATAACACCTAATACTAATACCGGAATAGAATTTTTTGGAGGCCCTCTTGGCAGTTGAGGCCCAAGGCAGTTGTCTGGCCCAACTGCCCTCAAAGCCGCCACTGATGACCTGACCTACTCATCTGGTCATATATCTTAAAATTTAAAGAAACTATATTGTCATAAAGAAACTTCGAGTGGTTATGAAACTTCGAATAGATGTGGTCAGGTTTGATTTCTTTCAGACCAGACATAACATAAATCATACTTTTCCACTGTATTTCCACTTTTTTAAACTTCGAGTTGAGATAAAGCGGAAAGAATTTAAAAGACGGAGGGATATACTTTTATATTGAAGTAGAAATGAAAATGGATCACGTAATAACTTAATTAATTTCTACCCAAAAAAATATTAATTTTCACGAAGTTGTTGTTATTGCGAGAAATATTGTATCAGTAAGGATGATGAAGGCTAGAAAAGTCACTTATTAGGCTACAACATTAAATTTGTCAAATCATATACTCTATATATAATGTGAAAATAATATCATGCATAACTATAATGGTAATCCTGACAGACATATAGTGAATAAGAGTTATAATTACAATAGGAGTCCCACAATAATAAATAACAATAAACTATTCTATTATATCCCTCAAACTGTGCAGGGAAAACGATGCGCAGATTGGCACGAAAAAAGTAAACTGTTATGAAAACTTTAAAATAAATAAAACACCTTAAAAATAAAAAAATATGGAGGCGTTTCCCACAATCTCGGCTACTGCCCAACAACTTTATCTCTGATCGGCTAAAAAATGTCATTTTTTGTAAAAATTGTTATTTTTATCCGAGAATGCCATGAATATGACATTTTTACTCTTGAAAATGCAAAAAATTTTCTCGAAAATTGCCATCAAGATGACATTTCTGACACTTGACATTTTTTCGGGTGATCGAAGCTAGTGGTGCCGGGAGGTGGCTGAGGCAGCAACATAGGCCTGCATATTTTTTTATATTCTTTACATTATATGTTAATTTTATTTTTATTTTTAAGTATTTTATTTTATAATTTTTTATTTTTCGATTTATTATTTTATTTTTATTAATTTTAAATAATTTTTATTTCACGTTTTTTATTTTTTTTTACATTTTTATTATAAATAAAGTTATGTTTATTACTTTATATTTTAATTATTAATGAAATATGAATTGTATTAATACAAAGAAAGGATATAATTGGAAAGCTAGTCCTATTTAGGGTATTTTTAAGTTATGGTCCTGTTTTGGCAATTAAAGTTTCATTTAGTCTTATTTGGGGAATTCTCTCAACTTTTTTTAATAATATGGTACAAATCGGTTTGTAAGTCAAAACTATCCATGAACCGTATTGAAACGAACTGTCCCGTACCGTCCCTATCGTCCCAAAAAATTGGTTATACAAAATAATATACACTACGAATTGTACTCCCTCCGTCTCTTATAACTTTGTCAACTTTCCTTTTTTGGATGTCCCACTAACTTTGCCACTTTTCTTTTTAAGTAAAGAATTTGTGGTTCTAGTTAATTTCCTCTCCTCTGCATAAACCTCAACCACATAGTTTTTACTTTATTAATCTCCGTGCCGGTCAAACTTGGCAAAATTATTAGGGACGGAGGGAGTATTATATTAGCCAATAATCTACACTATGGTTACTCAAAGCTATTTATTAGTTTTGTATTTCAGTTAGGTTAGATCGGACTACGTAAGTTTAATGTAAACTTTTCAATCTTGCGATCCATTCTCTTCAATTTTTGCACAATTTACTTATAAAAGCTAAAAGCTAAAATATTGTTGATTTTTTGTCTTTTGAATGTAAATATGTTTTACTTCGTTGTAGTTAAATATTTAGGAATCGAATAGTACTGAAGAACCGTACCAAATCGTATCGAACTGTACCAAAAATTTATACGAAACTGGACAAGTTCTATATATAATCGGGATGATACTAGCTCTTTGATTTTTAAAAGAGTCATAGTTTGGAACGAGACATGTTTTTCAAAATAACTGTCCTGTACCGTACCATGCCCAGCCTAATTTCTGCAGTGGAGGACCTAGGGAGGTACTAGGGGACAAAATGCCCCGCTTCAGAACATGAAGTTTAGTATTAGTACTTCAATATAAAAGTTGTGTCCTCCCCTACGTAGGAAAAAAAACTATTATATAATTAATTATGTGATAATTCCACTGAAGAACATCGGCTAATTGCAATGAGATCACAGAGTTATAATGGAGCAATTCTTAGAGATGTTATTGATATTGTCAGCACATTTTCTTTCCAGAGTGGCACTCATTTTTTTTTGTTAAATATAGTTTTACCTATTCATGGCAATTTCTAATTAGTAAATTCTTCTCGAATTGTGCAAAAACAGTGCCATGAAAAAGTTATCACGTACAGGATCTTGAAAAAAGATTGTGCCATTCGTGATAAATTAATATCACACCCTTTGTTTTTTTTGTATACGATATGATAAAAGTTTGACATCGTAGTATTATATTTTAAATAAATACCAACAAATTTTGTGACACAAAGTGTAACGTTGGACTACATGATCCTAGATTGAAACTGAAATATTGATCATTTTATAATATGAAAAATAACAAGAATTCTAATTTAAAATAAAAACCAATCAAACGACGATTTCATTTGTAATCGAGAGTATCTCTCTATCAAGAAACCTAATATTACTCTTTACATATAAACCTAATATTACTTATAAATCATAGAGCATGTACATGGCTAATTCCTTGAAACCAATATTGAAAAATCTTTTTTTTTTTATTTTCAAATAATAATATGCACGTACTCCTTATTGTTTTATTGATGATTCAAAAACAAATTGTAAATGTGGAATCTCTCACCTCAGGAGCCCCCACCCCGACCCGACTGGATGGTGGGGAGGTTAGTCACGGTGACTCAGTCAGCAGAATGACAGTAGGCCCATACATCCGTGTGCACCAGAGACCCAGCCTTATTTCAGGTTCTATGACCTCCACCCGGTCGCTGCGGGGATTCAAATCTTGATCCATTGATCGAAATCTCCCACCACTCGACCAACTGAGCTACCCGTGCTGGTTCGAAAACAAATTGTCAGGATGTTTTTACTTGGACTGTAATTTGCTGGTCTGGTCTGGTTTGGTTTGGTCTGGTCTGGTCTGGTCTGTTTTAGTCTGGTATGGTTTGGTTTGGTCTGTTTTGGTCTGGTCTGGTCTGGTCTGATCTGGTCCGAAATTTTACTTTTTATATTTTTTGCATATAGATTTTATTTTTTATATATATTATAATCCATAAATAATTATATTTTATTTATTTATAATTAAAAATAATAATATTCCTTCCAAATTATCGAAAATTGTTATCGTTTTACTTGGAATGATTTCAATCCCAGACCGAAGCAGATCAGACCAGATCATACAAATACAGAAAAACTCAATATGATGATGATGATGATGATGATGATGATGATGATGATGATGATGATGATAATAATAATAATAATAATAATAAGGGAGATTTACCTGAATAGGAGTAAATAAAAGGATAATTGCAACAATAGGCCGGAGTTTAAAGTTTAAATTCCCAAAATAGGACTAACTCTTCCTATTCTACCATTTCCTTTGTCCTTGATAATAGGATTTTTAAAAAATCATTATAAAATATAAAAAAATCAAAATAAAAAAATAAAAAATCCTAAAAAATAAAAAATAAATATATTTCTAAACCAACACCTCAACCACCTTCCAGCACTACCACCTCCGGTCACCGGAAAAGATTGCCAACTTGGAGAAAAAATGTTATCATGATGGCAATTTTGAAGAGAAAGCAAGAGAAAGCTGAATATTTTCAAAGAGTAAAAATGTCATCTTTATGGCATTTTCAGGGAAATGTGGATTTTTTTTACATAAAATGGCATTTTTTTCGGCAACCGGAGTCGGTGGTGCTGGGAGGTAGAGGAGACGTTGGCAGTGACCTACTTATTTTTTAAATATTTCTTAGGTATTTTATTTTTATTTTTTGGACTTTTTTAAAAATAATTTATTTATTATTTTTAGTTTATTTTTATTTTTATTTTATTTTTTCACGTTTTCATTATTATGTTATAAATATTTTATGATTTTTTATATTTTTATTATAAACAAAACTATGATTTTCTAGTTAATAAAATAAATCTGATGGAAATTATAGGAAGGGGGTTGAATGGGAAGAAGAGACATATATTAGTCTTATTTTGGGATTAAAAAAATTGTACTCCTATTATTGAATTTTGGACTTATTTTACTCCTATTAAAGGCTAATATCCGTAATAATAATAATAATAATAATAAAAGTTTTTTACAAGAATATTACTAAAATAAGTCATATTTATTTACACAAATATAACTATTCATTACTACAATGTAGTGTTGAATAGCCGACCCCAATATCTTTTGGGACTAAGGCTTGGATGTTGTTGTTGTATTACTACAATGTAGTGTTGTGGTAACTTAAACTCAAAACTTGAACATGAATTACTATGATTTCATTACTACTTTAGTCATTAGTCATATTTTTGTAAATCATCTTTATTTTGGTCATATTTATGTAATTATTTCTAATAATAATAATAATAATAATAAAATCTGGTCTAGTCTGGTTTGGTCTGGTCTGATCTGTTTTAATCTGACGTTGTCTGTTTTAGTTTGATTGGGTGTGGTGGGGAAGAATTTCAGTCGAAATAAAAACAAGGACGAAGTGGTAAGAAATTGATTTAGCTAGCTAGCCGGGTGATCTGACATTAATTATCAACCACGCACCTACCAGTCGGTGGCTCCATTAATACTAGTTGGCTCACACTCTCTTGTTCACACTTCACTTCCAAAGTACGTACTATACGTAAAACCCATCAAACCAAGCTTTCTTCCCATCTCCCCTGCCCTATAAAACCCTGCCATCGTCCACCATCAACTCCATCCTAGCTACCCAAATTAAGTACATACTCAAAACAAACCCTTCTTCATATTCAGCTTAACTCAGCTCTAGTATTACAACAATGGCGACGGCAAGGTCTGAGATGGTCAAGTATTTCTGCGTCGCCGTTCTGTGCATGGTGGTGCTGGGTGCTCCCCATGCTGTGACCGCCATCACTTGCGGTCAGGTATCGACCAACATGGCCCCTTGCCTCAACTACTTGAAGGGAACCGGGCTAATCGGTACATGCTGCGGAGGCGTTAAAAATCTGGTTTCTCTCGCTACAACCCCCGCTGACCGGCAGCAGGCTTGCACTTGCCTGAAAACTCTCGCCGGTAGCGTCAAGGGTCTGAATCTAGACACTGCCGCTGGTCTTCCCGGTAAATGCGGAGTCAGCATTCCTTACAAAATCAGCACCAGCACCGATTGTACCAAGTACGTACTCTACTCATTCTCAAAGTAATAATTTAATTTAGTTGCTTAAGATAAAAATTGCTACATTTATTTGGTCATATACTTGTATTACATATATTACGTACGTAGTATATAATTACTAATTTTCATTTTAGATTTTTGAGAAATCTCATTAAAATTATCTCATGTAGTACTAAATTTGATAAAATTTATGTGACTTTAAATCACTTTTATTTTAGGTGACAACTCTGGTAGGTACCCATTTGAAAAATGGGGTACCGTACCCACCACTCACTTGATTGGTTCAAATCATTATATCATTTTTAATTTAGATTTAAATAATTCAACTACATCATTCTGATTAGTCCGTGTGGACAAAGGTATGGTACCTTAAAGGTACTATAGAATCTATCTTTATTTTATTCGTATTTTATCCAATAATGTAAACCACTTAAATCTACTTTTCCTAATAAATATGCAACCTCCTTCCATCTCAATATTAGTGGGACACAAATGGTTTTTATAAGTTAAGTGTGTTTTCTCCCCAATTAGTCCTATATTTCTAAACATTTGTTTTGTTTTTAATCCTGATAATTAAGAGTGTTCAGATCTATTTCTTAGAACTACTTCACGAAGCAGAAGTAAATATTTACGTGTAAATCAAATTGCTCCTACTTTTAAAAATAGAAACAAAATAAATTGCAAACGTGCCTACGTAATTAACCACTACTCTTCCGTCTCTAAATAGCTGCACAACGGCACAAGGCTAAAATACCAGTGGTAGCACTTAATTATCAAAGGGAAAATAACTTCAAATAGTACTCCCTCCGTTCCCCTGTTAGTCCCATTGAGGTTTACAATGCTTGACCGACGATAAAGCAAACAGATCTCTGTCCTCACTCAAATTATTTTTAGGAAAAAAAAAGTCCATATTCAGAAACTACGTTAAAAGATATACAAAGTCGCAAAAACCAGAATCAAATTTGATAAAAATTTGATACATAAAGTAATAGATTTATAGTGAATAGGAAATGTGACAATAACAGGGGACGAAGGGAGTATGACGTATAAATTATCTTTATTATGTACTAAGATTCATATGCACTTTCGAAATAACTTCTAATATTATCAACTATTTAAATATAAACTAAAAGTGATAGAGAACATTTTTTACCATAAAAAATGTTATGGTACTCATAAAAAAATTAAGGTATCGTACTCATCATTTACTCCGTATCTAATTTAATTTATGTGAAGTCATTATTTTATCATTCAATTAGTTTAGTATTTAAACTAAACTAATTTAATTTATTTTATTGTATGTAATGTTAATTATTCAATTAGTATAGTATACCATATTTTTATTTTTTTTATTTTTGTGTTTCTGTCCAGGGTTGCATAAATGCGATATAGTGGAAGCGTGAGAGGTGGATGATAAAGCATGCATGCATACCATTGTCCATTCTGGAGTAGTTTCTTCGTATAGAAAAATAAAACGTCAGTGACGGAGGAATAAGATCTGAGGGCTCTTCTGTGATTCCTATTAGTTTAGGGGTCCGATTTGAAGGAGACTTTCTAGACCAGTTTTATGTTTGTGTTTTGTCTTTGTTATTATTTTGACTTTCTTGTTTAATTTTGGGTATGCATAGCATGGGCTTGCCCAGGTAGTACTGTTTTTGCATGTGTCACCAATGAATGTACTGCACTCCATTGGTAATTGATATAAAATGTCTACCCCACGCCTTTCAATTCCAATTACGAGTGTTTTTTCTTGTGTTTATTTTTTGCCTTCTTTCTTCAATGAATTTTAAAACACATTGTCTCATTTAAATGTTGTTGTTTATGTATTTGAATATAATTAACACTCTTTAATTACAATTTAATCATCACATATTAATATCAAAACACTTGTAACATTACAATTATCATTAATCATCCTATAATATTATATACTCACCCAAATTCATTTTCAAAATATAGTCAAAATAACTTATATAATTATTGTTAATTAATTCTTTCCTTTTCGATCCGTCCCAAATATATTCTCTTTTTTTTTGCAAAGAATTTATGGTTCACAATCATTCTTACACATTTTTCTTCCCTCTGCGCAACTCTCTACCACACATTTCCCACTATCTTAAAACCCGTGCCCAGTCAAATAAGGAGATAATTCCGGGACGGAGGTAGTACTATTTTTAATAAGAACCTTAAATCGGGACGGAGGTATTATGTACTCCCTCCGTTCCTAAATAAACTTCCAACTTTCTTTTTTCGTCAGTTCCAATTAAAACTTCCATTTTCCCTTTTTGGTAAAGAATTTGTGGTTCACAAAATTTCTTACACATTTCTCTCTCTTCTGCACAACACTTCACCACACAATATTCACTATCTTAAACTTTGTGCCAAACTCATTTGGAAGTTAAAATGGGAATGGAGGTAGTATTACAATAATATTACGTATAAGATAATAATACTCGGGACGGAGTAGTAATCATACATTAATAGCAATAATATACTGTAGTATTAATAAATAAAGATAATATAATGGTAATGATTATGAGATTATCAATATAATTTACTCCCTCCGTTCCAATAAAAACTTTGATTTTGATCGGGCACACATTAAGATAGTGGGAATTATGTGGTGGAGAGTTGTGCAGAAGAGAGAAACGTGTAACAGTGATTGTGAACAATAAATTCTTTGCCAAAAAGGGAAAGAAAAGATAAATTTGGGACGAACAAAAAAGGAAAATATGAAGATAATTCCAGGACAGAGGGAGTAGTTCAAATTAGGGCTGTTAACGAGCCGAGCCGAGCCCGAACACCCAAAGCTCGAGTTCGGCTCGATAAGGAATTAGTGCTGTTCGGGTTCGAGCTCGAAGCTCGACGAGCTTTACAAATGAGGCTCGTGTTCGGCTCGATAGGCGTTTGATGTTCGATCCGAGCGCTCGATAAGCTCGAATTTAAAATTTTAGGTGATGCTCGTTAATAGGCTCGTGCTCGAATGGTTCGACAAGTATTCGATTCTTTAATAATCATATTTAAATTCATATAATAATACTAATTATATTTAAATTTTTAATTATATATATAATTTAAGGTGTTCGAACCGAGTCGAATACTATTATGTTCGAGCTCGGCTCGATTAATTTTTCGAACTTAAAATGCAGCTCAGGTTCGTGTTCGAAAGCTCGTTAAGCTCGTCTCGTTAGGTTCGAACTCGAGCTCGAACTCGAATAGTTCGATAAAAGTTCGGTTCGTTAACGGTCCTATTTCAAATGCAATTCCAAAAGCAACCATTGGAGAAACATGACAAGTTGGAAATGGTTCCGAAGCTCAAATTAGTTTAGGTTATCGAGACCCTAGTACGTGACCTCACCTTTAGCTACTCCCTCCGTCCCATAAAATAAGTCCCATTTCAATTTGGATCGGAGTTTAAGAAAGTGGGAATAAAGTGGAAATGTATGGTTGTGGTTGACTAGGAAAAAGGTAAATGAATGTTAGTCACACAAAACTTTCCGAAAAGGGAAATGAGAACAATTTTTTGGACGGCCCAAAAAGGAAAATGAGACTTATTTTGTGAGACGGAGGGAGTATTTTATTTAGCTACCCAGTTTCGTTTTCCCACGCCGGAAATGAAGAAAGAAATGCTCACTCTCTTTTACCCGCACGGGTAGCTCAGTTGGTCGAGTGGTGGGAAAATTGGACCAAATGACCAAGGTTCGAAACCCGCAGCGGCCATGTGAAGGTTATAGAACCTGAAATAAGGCTGGACCTCTGGTGTACACGTGTATAAGGCCTACCGCCGCTTTGCTGACTGAGTCACCGTGATTAACCTCTCCACCATTCTATCGGGTCAGGGTGAGGGACTCCTGGGGTGGGAGATTCCACCTTTTGGACCAAGAAAGAAATGCTCTTGCCGACTTTCTATGTAAACAAAGTCTCTCCTAATCGAGGAAAATTAGCGCTTACCCTCTTTGTTTGATACGGCCCAGCCTGTATTGGGTAGAAGCCTTTGTAAACGTTCTACGCCTAGACGCCATTTATCACGCTTTTGGATTATGCGAGGCGTTTGGTGTCAGTTACAAGGCCTTTCAGAACACTGACCCTCTCCTTCTTGGAAAATACTTCCACTTTTTTTTGGGTGTTTCAAAACAAAATTTAATTTTTCCTTTTTTGATAAAAAAATTGTGGCTCATAACAATTCTCCACCACAATTTACTACTTCCTCAGTCTCTAACTTTGTTCCGTTTTACTTTTTTTGTCCATACCATTAAGTTTGTTCCATATTATATTTGCTAATATTTGGATGGTTACATGTTTTTTACTTTATTCATACTTTATTAATTCAATGTTAACCACATAATTCTACTTTTTCTTTAAAGTTGTGTCACATCTCTTTTGTCTCAAACATGGTCGGACGGATGTAGTACTTATCGATTGTGATCAATAACATACTTCCCCTCCCAAAAAATTCTTTTCTGAATCAGATCTTAAGAAATTAAAAATAAAATGAAAATGTAAGATTGTGAATTACGAATATTTCAAAAATAGATAAAATAAATTTCAAAAAACACCAAAAATAAATTATAAATTTGAAATATAAAAATAAATATTTATTATTACGTTAAATATTAAATATTAAATACGAAGTATTAAGTTGCAAAATCATTATTTTTTCTTTGTAAATAAAGCACTTAAAATTCATAAATATTAATTTTACTCTTGTTGCAAAATTTTGAACACATTATTACATTTTTTCAAATAACATTATTTGATTTTGTTTACCCTTAATGAAATTAAATTCACTATTTTGTAATCTTGGAGTATTTATCATCATACAAATATGTAATTTTATAGTGCAAAGAATGCAAAAAATAATTTACCTTTTTACATTGCAACACATATGTTAACATTTTTTTTGAAAGAATTTAAAATATATAGTCAAGTTTTGAAAAAATATTTTATACTAACAATATTAAATTGTGATATAAAAGCAATACAAGGGAGAATTGGACACAAGTACATTTTCATCTTATTTTTTACTTCGAATTTATAATTTATTTTTGGTGTTTTTTGAAATGTATTTTATCAATTTAAAGTCAATAAGGGTAAATTTGCTCCTTAATAAGAATATTAGGGGTATTTTTGCACATTTTTTAAGTTCAAGGGTATATATGCGCTTCCACATATACTTCACGGATATATTTGTTCCGAAAAATAGAATAAGAGTATATTTGTTCTCACAGTCATGATACATGAGTATATTTATATATACCTTATCCCTTTATTTAATAATGGGTTACAATTGGCGATTAGATTGGTGGTCTATTGAACTTTTAAGGTGTTTCCTTAAATATTATGTACCGAAATATAACTAATAGATACAAATATTAATGTAGTTACTGTGCATATATAGTCACTATAGTGGTAGATCTGAATAAAATTATGGTTACTATGTCATATTTTTGTCTAATACCTTTATTTGGGTCATATATTTGTCAATATTTCATTTTTAAAGAACTAAAACGGGTTGTTTTTAAAAATACCATTTAGGAGAGTATATGGGAGCAAGTGAAACACAAAGGAGCATAATATCATTCATTCATTCGTTCGTAATTATAAAATCAGAAGAGAAAACATGAATTGAATTGAGTTGGAGGAACACGTGAGAACTGCGTGCGTACATCCTGGTCATGATTTTGGAACAATCATATCCAATGTGTACATATATGTTTATTAATTAAGAACAAGTACATAGTATGAAGTGCGAGTACGTATTTATTTATTTAATTATGATACGGGATGCACGGTAGCCATGCGACGTAGAAATCTCTCGATCATCAGCTCTCTAATTAATGGATCCTGCAAATTTGAAATGGAATGATTTGAGAAGTCATTAAAACAAGAAATTGGCATGGGGATTAAAAGTAGGGGGAAAATACAATACTCTAGTTAGGAATAAGTACTACATCCGTTCCGAAAAGATTTGTCAGATTGACTTTTCTTGGTCAATTATGTCAAACTTTGGACAATGATAGGATTTTAATTATTATATTTGTATATAATATATAAATTTTATACTTTTACGAAAATATTTTGAATAGGGAACAATTTGATATAATTTTCATATATTCAAAATAATTTAGCATTAAAAAATAATGTTGGTGTATCTTGATTGTCATTCATGAATAAAAGTCAATGTCCTAAGTTTTTTCGGGAGTATGTTTTATTCCCATTATTCAAATTAAGTAGTGCAGTATACATGCGGCATATACGTACTGGTTGCAGTCGGTCTGCATGCTGATCTTATAGGGGATATTGACGTTGCATGCTTTAGGAAGGCCTTCTGCAAATGGAGGCTTAATCACGTCGGTGTAAGAGTTGGCAACGTCTTTCAGGATTGCGCAGGCCCTCTGGCGGTCGGGGGTGGTATTAGCGGCGGCATTCAGAGCCCCAACGCCTTGGCAGCATGCTGGGGGCGGAGGTGTGGCTTTTCCCTCCAAGTAACCAAGGCAGGGCATCAAGAATCTCAGAACCTGCCCTTTATCAGTAATGGCGGCGTCTGCATGGCGCGGACTAGTGGCCAGAATCACGAACAATACAGCCGCCGCCATGCACAGTACCGACTCAAACCTTGCCGCCGCCATTGCTAACTAACTATATATATATATATATATATATATATATATATATATATCTGTCTGATCAATATGTATATATGCAGCCAGTAACGTAACGTATAGTACGTAGTGATATATAACTCAAGTGACCAGCCGGGCCGCCGGGGGATTTTATAGCTGCGTCGTCTATGTATGTACGTACAGAGCTTGCTGGGCTGGGATCGATCGAGCATATAATTGAGTAATTAATTAAGAAATTCTGCGATTTATCCATGCCATACGGAATCAAC